TTTCAATGTTTATTTTTTAATTTGGCTTGAAAACCATCAGATTATAATGCAAATTCTGATATGTTTAAGAGGATTACTTTTTTACTTTTGATAATAGTTTTTAAAAATCTGTTGTAAGCAGTTACAATATAAACAGCAGCTTTCCTTTGAGACAACTTACCCCATGTGACAACATGCTTTACTGTGTGAAATGATCTGCATGTTTTGACCTAGGCAATAATGGTGGAAATGTTAATAGAGTTTGTAGTAACATCTCAAACTGAGAATTATTTACTGTCAAAACATGAAACATGAGATTTGGTCTCCCATATTCCATAATGGTGGAGTTCACTTACAATAAATTGGTTCTCTTATTGATTTCTCCTCTGTGGTTGGAGACCTAATAAATATTTTATTTTAATAATATATTTACCCTACTATTAATACATAGGCCTAATTTTTTTTATAACCAGGATGATTGTAACTTTTTGCCTGAAATGTGCAAATGATCTAATTTTATTTTTAAAGGGGTCATATGATGCGATTTCAAGTTTTCCTTTCTCTTTGGAGTGTTACAAGCTCTTGGTGCATAAAGAAGATCTGTAAAGTTGCAAAGACTAAAGTCTCAAATCCAAAGAGATATTCTTTATAAAAGTTAAGAGTCAGCCACGCCTACCTAAAACGGCTCGTTCTAACACGCCCCCACATATCTACGTCACTATGTGGGAAGATTTGCATAACACCGCCCAAATGTTCACGCAAAAAAAGAAGGCGTAACTTTTATTCTCGCTGTAATATTGAAAAGTGAAAAGTAATTCCGACTTTGCTATGACAATCTGGCGCTTCTGAATCAACGACTGTAAGTATGTTTTGTTATTAGCTTAAGTATTTGCTATTGACTGTTCAAATGCGGAGTTTTGCGCAGCGCAGAGTAACGCGTCATGTGTGTGTGTGTGTGTGTGAGGGGAACAGGGCCACATCACAGGAGAGTGAACTGCCTATCAGAAATCATAGCAATTATAGCATTATTATTATTATTATTATTATTTTGTATTGAAATGGTTTACAGGTATGATTTTCCAGCAGGTCCTAAGTAGGATAGATTTTTTTTCATGCACCTCAGAAATCAGCAATTACTTGACCATTCAAAAGTTTGGGGTTGGTAAGATTTTCTAATGTTTTTGAAAGAAGAGACTTATCCTTAAAATACAGTGAAAACCGTTATATTGTGAAATATTATTGTGATATAAAACTATTTTCTACTTTAATTTATTTTTAAAACGTAATGTATTCTGTGATGGCAAAGCTGAATTTTCAGTCATCACTCTAGTTTTCAGTGTCACATGATCCATCAGAAATCATTCTATGATGCTGATTTGACGATTTAGAATATAAACATTTCTTATAATTTTCACAGTTCAAATGGTTCTACTGCTTAATATTTTTATGGAAAGTTTTTTTCAGGATTTTTTGATGAATAGAAAGTTCAGAATAAAAGAATATATGTAAAATATGTAAATAAACTAATATCTTTTGTATCATTGTGCCTTTATGTTTAGAGTATAGTGGATTTTCAGAGAGAAGCCTTCAGTTTTCAGTCAGGAAGGGTGTTAGAGCCTGACAGGAAGCTTACTGAAAAAATGGAGAGAGACGACATCCTGTACCGATTAACTAATGGCAAGCCCTTAATGTTGGCTTTCAAATTTTTGAGCATTTAAAACAACTTTCAAAGGCTTTGTTAAGCACAACATTTAAAGTTTGTCTTGACGAACGTTCATTTTGTCTTTTTCCATGTGTGTGCTCATGTGTACTATATTGTCTTAATGTAATTTAAAATCTATTAATTACATATATAAATTAATAAAACACAACAAACTTAAAATCTAGCTATTTAACTTTTCGAGTAATTGTTCCTTATTCTAAGCAGTTTTATGATGCAGTTCATACAAATGGCCAGTAGATGGAGATGTTTTACTATTTTCAGGCATGACAAGAACTTTATTGTGTTTGAAAAACAGTGTTTTGTTATTCCTTAGAGAGTGTCTCTTTCCATCTCCTCATATTTCGTTTTACATTTAGCAACACAAGCAATGTTCGATTCACTTTTCATTCATTCTCAGAAAAAAAGGTACAGTGCTGTCACTGGGGTGGTACCTTGAGGTACAAAAGCTAAAAGGTACGTCTTTGTACCTTCTTTACCCCTAAATGGAAAGGAAAGGAAAGAAAATGAGGTGACGTGTGGCCAAGTATGGTGATCCATATTCGGAATTTGTGCTCTGCATTTCACCCGGAAAATGGTACATACCTTAATATTACATATTAGTACTTTAAAAATACATGAAGGTTACCACCTCGGTGACAGTTTGTACCATTTTTTTTTTTCGGAGAGTGTTGGGTGTATATGAGTTTAATAAAAATTAGTTTAAATAATGGTAATACATGAAGGTTACCACCTCAGTGACAGTTTGTACCATTTTTTTTTTTCGGAGAGTGTTGGGTGTATATGAGTTTAATAAAAATTAGTTTAAATAATGGTATTAGTGATGTTAAATAATATTTAGAGCTCGTCTGAACTCTGTGCACTCAAGAACAGAAAATCCATGGCAACATTAAATCGTGTGTGTTTATGTGAACAAAGCCATGCACAAATCACTTCTCACAGAATGCTTGAGTTGTTTCCAAGGAAACCATCCTGCTCATGCAGTACAGAGGTCCATGTGGGTGTGTGTGAATGTGTGTTTCTGTGCTTGCAAGGTCAGTGTGTTCTTGCTTGCACAGAAGAGTGCAGAGAGCATGGCCAAATGTTTGGATATGAAATTCACAGCCCTATGCAGCAGCGCATGTAATCTCACTTGAATCTTTAAAAAAAGTTCACCCAAAAACGCAAATTCTGTCATCATTTCACTCACCCTCATGTCGTTCCAAACATGTATGACTGACTTTCTCCTGAAAAACATGAAAGAAGATGTTTGGCAGAATGTTCATGCTGCTCTATGCAACGAAAGCGAGTGGAGGTTTACTCTTTTCTCATTCTTGTTTTTATAACCATATGTATCTCTGCTTATGTTTTTCACACTCGTTTGTGTGAGTGGTAGTTGTGTTCATTGCAGCGACAACTGTGACTGTGCAATTGGCTTGTGTGTGTGTGGGTGCAGATGGTTCAGCATAATAGTGTTCAGCTTCAGCTTTTCATTCAACACACACATATGTAAACACTCAAACACACACTCAGGAGTGCCTGCCCTCTCAGACTCTGTGAAATATTCACTCTTATGCAACTTAATGGTCCATTTTACACTTGAAGTGTTCACTTCAAAGCACCTTTGATGAATATGTGCTGAATATGAGGCCATGGTTTCTCTCTGTCTGCTGCAGGGCTGTTCTCCACCAGGCAGAGATCAGTCTACAGTATAGTCAATAAATTCCCTTTTAATGAAAATATTGCAAATGTGAGCAACATGACTAATTAAACTTGTACATGTATAGACTGGCATTTGCAAATACATTTAGTTATGAACTCTTTTCTGCCGCAGCACACGTTTTGAGCAATGCTGTAATAATTTGCATTAAATTATCATTTTAGATCACTTTTATAACCCTTTTTAAGTAGGAAATCCAGCCTAGGAAGACATCTGTGTTCTTAGACTTCTTTGTGTATATTTTGTTATTTTTAAATTAATTAATTAATTATTTAATAATACATCAATTATATGTATAAATTTTAAACATTTCAATAATTTACATTCAATAGGGGTTTTTCTTTTTTAATAAATCTGCAAAAATGTCAACAATTCTGTGTTTTTCTGTCAATATGGGGTGCTGTGTGTACATTAATGAGGAAAAAAAATTAACTTAAATGATTTTAGCAAATGGCTGCAATATAACAAAGAGTGAAAAATTTAAGGGGGTCTGAATACTTTCCGTACCCACTGTATATATATATATATATATGTATATATATATATGACCAACCAAATGTCTCCAAAAAGGAAAAAATATGTAATTATTTACTCACCCTCATATTGTTCCAAACCCCGTATGACCCATGTGTCTTCTGTAGAACATAAAAGAAGATATTATGAAGAATGTTGATAACCAAACAGTTTCGTTTCGCATTAACTTCCATTGTATTTTTGTGTCCATACAATGGAAGTTAATAAGAACCAAAACTATTTGGTTATCAACATTCTTTATAATATCTTTTATGTTCCACAGAAGAAAGTCATGTAGGTTTGGAATGACATAATTAACGTGAGTAAATTACATAATTTAAATTTTTGGGTAGGCTATTCCTTTAAGGGACAGAAAATGTTATTAATACAGTATAAAAATTTTACTTCTATACTTAAATGCTTCTGATCAATGTGTATCTGTGTGTCTGTTCCCTCACCAGTCACTCCCGAGGCGGTGGGCTTCCTGTCAGCCGTGGGCATCTTTGTCATCTTGCTGGCCATACTCTTCCTTTTCATCAATAAGAAGCTTTGTTTCGCTCGTGTCGGTGGTCTGCCATGCCTCGAGCAGTACAGCCGGCGCAAACGTAGAGACCGTTCTGGAATTCACCGGGGACTCGGTAAATATTATTGTTCAGACAAACTTTTTTTCTATTTTGGAAAAGGTGAACTTCATTATTAAAATATTTTCTCATATCCAGGGTGAATATAATAATAGTCTGTTTGATGACCGTTGGCATACAGGTGGAGTGTTTGGGATCCAATTATCTATATTAAATGCACTGAACCACACAAATCTTTGTGTGCTCTGTGGGTTGTCCCTATCTCTATTCATTCCTGGCAAACACACATACACACACTCACCTATGAGTAAACCTGGCTCCTTTTGGTTATACACATATTACACAGTCAGTATATCAGCTGGGTGTTGGAGGAAGTTCTGTTGTGGTATTTCTAAGCAGCTCCTTTAGTAAACATTTACTCTGTCTGTCCTACGAGATGTCCTGAGTCTACTAGCTAGATAAACGCCATGCGTCAGGTGCTGCTGAACTTATTCGACTGAAGGTTTGCTATATGTAGTTAGTTTATGAGATGCAGGGGCTCTAAATGGAGTAATTGGTTGTTTTTTGAGGAAGCCCTGCTGGTAAGTGTTTGTACTAGGGATGTGCAATATATTGGTACCATAACGGTTGTTGGCTGATATTTGAGATTTTTTTTTAAGTTATTGGAATTGGATATTTAACTGTGCATGCTAATTTTTACAATTAGATTACCTTTGTCGTCATCTAACACGCACTTAAAGTTTATCTTTGAAAGACCTAATAACACTGTTAAATCTTTGTTTGTTAGATCAATCTTTGGCAAATCTCAAAATGAATATCTGTTTTCATACTGTGCATTATAATGTTGTGTCACCTAAATTTACTTGTAGCTTTTAAAATGATAGATTTTTAGTGTTTTTATTTATTTAGATAAAATAGTAAAGATTATAATATCACCCAATAATTGGTTACTGGTCATAAAAAAATGAATAATAAATCATTGGCTTATTGGATTTGGACAGAATTTTAATACCATATTATTTAAATAATATTAAATAATATTATTTAAAATAGTTTTCGTCAGGTAGCTGAAGTAGGGCTGGGCGATATAGCCAAAAATATTATCACTATTTTTTTTTCCATATTATTCAATTCACGATTTTTCCATATTATTATTCATAATATATCACGATGTTCATTTGACATTAATAAGGAAGGAAATACTTTCCACATGTTTGTTAGACATAATTTTTTTTTAAATTGCCCAATGAAATGAATTTATAAAACAGTTTGAATATTCTTTTAAAATGTAATCAAATTAATTTACAACAAAACATTGCATTTTTATTGTCAAGCAAGATGCTACACAACAGAACTGTATTAATTAATGAAAAAATACCTTGATTGTATAATATTCCTTTAGAGTAATAATAAAATTCTTATTATTACTTTAATAATTATATTTTAGTAGACTATACAATAGTAATATATTTGTCATAATTTCTTCAAGTTAAACCAGACTTTTATTTTGACGCGTTGTCGTGAAAGTCTTTCAGTTTTACTTTCAGTTTCAGTGTGTATTTGATGGTGTTTTTTTCTCAAATGAAACAGTGTAAAGCTGATGAAGTGACTCTCAGAGCAGCTCTGGGGATGAAGTTCATGTTCATATATTGAAACTCAGACATTGAAAATACAGTGAGCATCACGTGTGTTTAAGTTTGTGTACACGCAGAACATCGCGGCATTAGCTGACTGGCTGTTGTCGAGTTTATTTCTGCTGTGTGTGATTAATGTGTTAGATTAATCCATATCGAGTAAAAATATCTAGAGCTTATCATCGTTATCAACATCAAATTTATCGCAATCTCGATATGATATCATTTATCTCCCAGCCCTAATCTGAGGCAGTTAACTTTTAATTAGATTGTATGTTTGATGTCAATCTGCTTTGCAAATTATGGTTGTTAGTTGCACTATAAAAGTAAATATGTTCTGTATAAATTCTGTTGATTTTGTTTTCAAAACAGTAACAACATGAGGGTATATATACATTTTGAAAAATAAAGTTAGCCAGTAAATGTTTGAAAATCGTTTCATATTTCTATATGGGGTTTGATAGAAATTTGTCTATAGGGCTGAGCAGGAAAGGTTCTGAAATTCACATTACAATAAAAAAATACAATTAAAATTAAAACAAGATATAGGCATGTCTGTCACCTAGTAAATTAACAGTTCATATTGTTTTTAAAAAAATCTGATCCCTTTTAAAATCAAAACTTTTTAAAATGTTAGCATTTTGAAGAAATATTAAATGCTTTTAAAATTTTTGAACATTAATAATTATTACAATTTCTAAATATACTGATGTTTATTGTTCATTCATATTTATTCATAATATAGTAAGTTTTCATTCAAAATGTTAAAATATTTATTAATGTATGTAGAAATTAACATTAACCACTGAAATGTAATGGTTTTAAAGGTTTTTTTCTGTATATAATCAGAGCGTTAAACCTGGTTTATTATATGTTCCATACAAAATGTCCATGAGTTGGACTCTTTGCAGCATTGAAGAGTTCTTTGCAGCAGTTATTTATGAGCTGTTCTTTTTGGAACGGCACAGCAGCTATTATTGTTCTCCTTTCGGGTTCCCTGCGTAGGTATCATTTATGTCATATGGAACGCACTCACTATAAAAGTAAATATGTTCTGTATAAATTCTGTTGATTTTGTTTTCAAAACAGTAACAACATGAGGGAATTCACTGGGTCTTCTGTGCATCTGAAAATAGACCTTCTTTTGAGCTGTTGGGGAAAACATTTTGAAATCTGAATGGCAGATATTCCTCAGGCAGGTATCCCAGCATTCTCTTCATGGCTCGCTGAGATTTCAGATGCTTTTTCCAATGGCTTTCGCCGCCTCAGCCTAAACAGAGTTGTTGACTCTGAGGTGTCAGTGAAAGATGAGAGTTCAGAGGTGGAGCAGAACTTGAGGGCTGTTCATGGATCTGGAGTAGATCCACAGGAGAAGCTGGCGCTGCGAGGTCAGGGCAGCAGGTTTGATTATGCCCTCTCTGTCGAACGTCTGACTCCCATCAGTGAAGAGACAGATGAGCTGGAGAGCAGGAGGAGTCTGCTGGCTTCACGCTGCTCTGATGCTGGTAAGATGTGGGTTAGAAGTTGTTCAAGTGAATTGGTTCATCTTCTTGGTCGATTGCTGTCCGTTCATTTAGTTTAGACATCACTGGTGGTTCTGTTCTTCTCAAAAACTGCTTTCATGTTTGCTGTGTAACTTTTTGTTACCTCTGTTAAAATAGTGACTGGTAGCTTCATGAATGTAGTGTTAGTTAGGGTCCTCATACAGTAACTTTTGGCTTGCTCAGTCCACCTTATTTTTAATGTAAGAGCAGCCGTGGCCATTTGTACTTCAGATGTGCATCCGGTGTCAGACGGTTATTCCAGGTATTTTAGCTGTACAAAAACAGTCCGTTATGCTGTTTAATATTGCAACCTGATATTTGTTATCAAATTATTATTAGTTATCATTGTAGTCATATGTAGACTGGTTTAGCACAAATAGCTTACTGCTCACTGCACTCTACAAATTATTTGCCTATAGCAGCTAATGAATTGGAAGACTTGCACATTCGGTTTAGCTTTAGCTTTCAGATATCTTTATTGTCAATCCTTCATACTAAATTTTGATTGTTTGCAAAAGTTTCTGAGAAATTCTTTTGCTTGGAAAGACACTAAACACAGATACACAGACACTCGTATGCAGGGTTTAACACACAGCCTCGTGTGTGTGTGTTTTTGTGTTTCTCTCTGGATATTTAATATAATCAGTAAACTGAGAACGCCCTCTCAAAACAAACAGGAGAGTCATTAAATGTTCACTCCCACACACACACACACAAATATACAAATATTTAGTCATACACAGTCTCACCTAAGATACTTTTAACATGCTTGTTAAAGGAATAGTTCACCCAAAAATGAAAATTCTGTCATCACTGACTGAATAGCTGTTTATGAGTTTCTTTCTTCTGTGGATAATGAAAAAAGATGTTTTAAAGAATGTTGGTAACCAAACAGTTGGTGGTCCCCATTGACTTCCCTACTATGGAAGTTAGTGGGGACCAGCAAATATTATTTACAATATCTTCTTTTGTTTTCAGCAGAACAATGAAATTCATTTATGTCATATGGAACGCACTCAGTGTGTACATTGAGGAAAACACTTCAGCGTGAGGGACTGGTAACCATGGCAACCTCCTTTGCTGCTCCTTACATAGCCACTTGGCCTAATTTGATGTGTGTGAGTGACTGATGTGGTGAAATTAATTTAATTAATTAATTTTTAGTTAATTTATGCATTTAGCAGACGCTTTTATCCAAAGCGACTTACAGTGCATTCAGGCTATACATTTTTTACCAGTATGTGTGTTCCCTGAGAATCGAACCCATGACCTTTTGCGCTGCTAACGCAATGCTCTACCACTGAGCCACAGGAGCACTATGAATGAATGGAAATACTACTATAATGGGTGAGAGAGAAAAAAAGAGACCCAAAGACACTAATTGGCCACTCTCTTATGATTGATAATATGGTAGGCATGCCTGTCTACACACACTCTACATTACCATTAAAAAATACCACCATGTCTGAGTCACCTACCAACAACACTGTCTTTCTCTCTCACTTGATGGAATATGAAAAAAAAAAAAAAACGGTTATTGTGGTCAGAGTGTCCTGCATCAGAATTAAGTAAATGTTTTTTTTTTCTTCATTTATTAATGGTTCTTGCTAAGGCAGTTATCACTATTAAATTGTGTATACACTACCTTGTAAAAGTTTGGGATAGTAAGTTTTTTTTTAAAGAAATTAGTACTTTTATTGAGCAAGGATGCATTAAATTGATCAAAGGTGATAGTAAAGACTTTTACAATGTTAAAAAAGATTTATATTTCAAATAAATATGCTTTTCTTTTGATTCTTTTTTAAACCTGAAAAAAGTATCAAAGTTTAAACAGGAATAAATTACATTTTAAAATATGTGACCCTGGATCTCAAAACCAGTCTTGAGTCACTGAGGTATATTTGTAGCAATAGCCAAAAAAAACATTGTATGGGTCAAAATTATTCATTTTTCTTTTATGCCAAAAATCATTAGGATATTAAGTAAAGATCATGTTCCATGAAGATATTTTGTAAATTTCCTACTGTAAATATATTAAAACTTAATTTTTGATTAGTAATATGCATTGCTAAGAACTTCATTTGGACAACTTTAAAGGCGATTTTTTTGCACCCTCAAATTCCAGATTTTCAAATAGTTGTATCTCAGCCAAATATTGTCCTATCCTAACAAACCATACATCAATGGAAAGCTTATTTATTCAGTTTTCAGATGATGTATAAATCTCAATTTCGAAAAATTGACCCTTATGACTGGTTTTGTGGTCCAGGGTCACATATATGCTAATAGAAAACAGTTATCTTAAATTGTAATAATATTTCACATTATTACTATTATTACTCTATTTTTCAAACTTTTGAATGGTGGTTAGAGATTGTTATACACATGAATGATTCCTCAAATTGTGAGGCTTGTTGAGAAGAGAGGGATCAGAATGTCTTAAGGAAGGACTCTTTTGACTAGTTAACAACAACCTAGCATCCACCTAGTATAGGAATGGTAATGGCCCAGTAATAACCCAGAGCACCATAGCAACCACATAGCAATGCCTTGGAATTATGGCTGGTCGGCCTGTAGTGGTCCATATTCATTAATTTTCTCTGCATTTATCTTTTCCTACATTTTTGTAACTTTTTTTGTTTGCCCCTTTTTTGTCCATCTGTCCCCATCTGTGTGTGTGCAGTGAATAGTTACGGCGAAGGCGGTGAGATTTCCAGCTCATCAGGCAGCGATGATGAGTTAGCAAAGCAGTTTGAGATCTCGGTTTCCCGCTCACAAAGCTTCCGTTCGGGGGTTACGGAGCTTGACACCCAGAATGCACCAGGGCAACATCATAAATTTAAACGGCTGCTGTCTGACCAGGAAGAAGGAAGCACAGAGCCATCTGACTGTGAAGGTACGCACCCACATTCTCCTATTATCTCAGACATTTGAATATAAATATGCATAGCGTAGTTATGCTTTCCTGATATACATGACAGTCACATATATATATCAACCACATTAAATATTTCACTACACTTTGAAGCAGCTTCTCGCTGATAAATTGAGCTCAGAGCCATGGTTTAAAAAGAAGGACAGTGAAATGCGTTTAAGAAATTCATTTCATTCATTAAGGTCATTCAGTTATTTCAAAAGCATTTCTACTTGAAGGGTACGTGTGGGTATGTTTTCTATGTGTGAGTGTGGATGATTGTTAATAAAAGATTGCCTTTTATTCTGTCATCAGAATAACACAGAAAAAAAATAATATAAGCCTTTCAAAAAAATTCTGATTTTGGCTGATCTTTTTTTAACATAAAAAATAACAATTATATAAAGATTTTTGTCAATAAAAATCGAATTAATTAACTTGATGGTAAACCAATGTTGATATTGTTAACTAAAACTATTAAAAATAATTTAAGTACTTTTAATAAAACTGAAATAAAACAAAATATAAATATTATATGGAAAACTTCCAAAAAATGTTTTATTAATTCAAACTAACTGAATTAAGTTGAAGTACTAAAATGACTCAAACTAAACCTAAAACAAAAAAGGAATTAAAACAATAAAAAACTAATTAAAGTGACAAAAACACAGAACTAAATTATTAAAACTTTAACTAAAATTTAATTTATAATGACTAAAATAAAATTGTTATAAAATAAAAGTTTTCCTAACAAACAGAAGATTAAAGCTTGATGGACAGATACTGTGCTGACTAGTGGTTTGTGGAATATATTGTTCTACATTTACGAGTCCTTTTACTTTGATAATGTTTTTTTTAGGAATGATATTTAACAAATGAGATGTATTTAATATTTTCTTTTTTCCTCTTAGAGAGCAGTACGATTACATGGAGATCAAATGGAGACTTTTGCTTAGATTGATAGTGTTTTGAGAGTTTTAAGGCGAACCAGGAATGAGAACCAATGAATATAATGAATTTTCAAAACATTCAATCTGATAATGTTAAATAAAAATGCTTATTAAATATTAGAACACTGACTTCATTGCCTCAGGCTAAAGCTAACCTATGTTTCAGAAGATGCAATACAAATCCAAACGCCTTTTATAAATATTTTTAGAAATGTGCTGCTTGTCACGTCACTGTTCATTCCCCTAATGCTCAGTCAACATCCCTGATCTGTACATTGCAATTAGACATAGCTCAACTAAAACAGCTTCCAGTTGGTTGCTTATGTCCACTGAATTCTTGCTGTATGGAGCTATATTTCTCAGAATGTTCATCACAGCATTAGTTACCATGGAAAAGCGTCTTTTCGGTTGCCGTGGTAACGGAGTAACTGGCCCTGTCTGCTGTTAATTGGTCGCTGCTGCTGAGTAGAACAGTTTGTGCCCTGAAAGAGATTTCATTCAGTGAAACTCATAGAGTCACGAGTCACGTAGGACAAGCATTTAAAGCTGTAAATTACAATCATTATCATCTGCTCCGGAGAGCCTTATTGGTCAAGGGAGCCTGTCCTGCAATTATGATATCTGTCAGAGTGTCAATAAAATTTAATTTGCTAAACATTCAGGGAAAGTGTGTGTGTGACAGAGCTGTTAATCGTGTCTTTATTTCTCTATTTAAAAATCTACTACTATATTGTTCTTTCTAAATATAGTCGTCTGTTTATTTGAATTACCCAATGGAATTAAAATTTACAAATGAGATCTCTATAATAGCTTTTGTTTCTCATAAACTGCAGTGAGATTAAATGGAGACTTTTGCTTCTTAGATTGTCCTCCTGACATCAGTCTCCTTTAGTGTTTCAGCAGAGGTCTTAAAGATGTCTCAAACTGTGATCAGAATTGCCAAGAAGTCTGCAATCAAAACAGTTACCATTTTTATTTATGCCATGGAATTTTAGGAGAAACATCTGATTGTTCTGTGCAACAATCATATAAAATAATTCTCTCATTCTTTCCGTGTAGAAGCTGAGAGAAACAGTGTGCAGAGTTTTCAGGATCCCCTCTCGTCTAGGCGTCGTGTAGGGTCTGAGCCGAGAGACCCGTTATCACAGAGTCCTCTTCCTGAGGGCCGGACACTCACTGATCCCCTCTCTCTGATGGCGGAGCAGATCTCTGTGAGCCCCCAGGACACAGGGGACCGTCTGGAGGCTCTACCCAGGGATGAGGGCAGTCGCCTGAGCAGTGTGGGGCGGCAAACCCCACAAAGGAGTCTGGCAGTCGACAATCATGGTTATGACAACAGTGAGGCTACGGATAATATCTCCACATGGAGTTCTGAGGTGTGTGTGCTTGTGTGCAACAGAGCCAGATCTTTTCTTATGATGTCTATATAGACTACGTTTAAAGGTGCCATAGAATGAAAAACTGTATTTACCTTGGCATAGCTGAATAATAACAGTTCTGTACATGTTAATGACATACCGTGAGCCTCAAACACCATTGTTTCCTCCTTCTTATGTAAATCTCGTGCATGCAAAAGACCACTGAAAAATAAGCGAATCAGAACATAACACCGACTGTGACGTTAGAGTCGGGATCACTAATAGTTATGCCCCCAACATTTGCATATACCCGCCCATGTTCTATGCCTGCCGCCAGCCGAACCTGCACAGCCGAATCATCAGAAGTTCTGCAGGTACTATGAAGAAACAAGCGAGGATAACAGCGAAAATGGCAGATCATGGAAATAAATGTTTTGTTCCAGGCTGTGCAGGGGATGTGAAGTGCAGGGATGGGTTGGTGTCTGTATTCATAAAGGCACAGAAAACAAATAATGCGCGTTCTAATAAAATAACGCAAGCCACTAAGGGACATGGTTAGCTGCTTGCTAGCGGTAGCCTGTTACATTACAGTACATAAGATTTCACTTACCACATAAACAGAGTAAGGAGAGATGACTGAGGATGATGGCGAATAATTTACAGATCCTGAGCACCACTGACAAGCATCTGATCTTGTAAAATGTGTGTTAAATACTGCCGCTGTAGTTCTGGAGATTTTTGCCCTTACCTAAGCCACATACCTTCTATGTAGATATCGGAGAACAATTTTAAATATTGTATCAATGCATTCTATGGTACCTTTAAAGTTTATGGTCAGTAAGAATTTGTTTTTAAAGATATTAATACTTTTATTCAGCACGAATGATCAAAAGTGACATTTACAAGGTTACAACAGATTCTATTTTAAACAAATGTTTTTTGAACTTTATCTTAATCAAATAATCCTGAAAAATATGTCATATATTTTCCAAAAAAATGTTAAGCAGCACTAGGCATGTGATGGTATCAAATTTTCATGTTGTGATTAATTGCTAATGCTTTTATCACGGTATACGGTATTATCACAATATTGAAATTTAGTTGCAAAAAAGTGTTGTCATAATAAATTATAACAGGTTTAATAACTTTTTTCTTATAACAAAAAGAAACTGAACATTTAAATACAATAAAGCAATACACAAACAAAATTTATAAAGTAAATAATTTCACACAGATTTAAGTGCAAAAAAATATAAAGACCAATAGGTAACACTTTACAATAAGATCTCATTAGTTAACCTTAGTTAATGCACTAACATTAACAATGAGCAATAGCTACATTTGCTACAGAAATCATTAATCTTTGTTAAAAAATACAACTGTTCATGTTGGCTTGAGTTCATTAAATAACACAGTAGCAACTTTTGATTTTATGTTATTAAATATTGAAATTAACTAAGATTAAAGGGGTCATATGATGCGATTTAAATTTTTCCTTTCTCTTTGGAGTGTTACAAGCTCTTGGTGCATAAAGAAGATCTGTAAAGTTGCAAAGACTAAAGTCTCAAATCCAAAGAGATATTCTTTATAAAAGTTCAGAGTCAGCCACACCTACCTAAAACGGCTCGTTCTAACACGCCCCCACATACCTACGTCACGATGTGGGAAGATTTGCAAATGTTCACACAAAGAAAGAAGGCGTAACTTTGATTCTCGCTGTAGTATTGTTGTTGCCACCGCCGCCATGTTGTGGAGATGCTGTGTGTTTCA